CCAGCGTGGAGTACAGTGTTATAATTATAGCTCATTATAACCTGAATTCTTAGACTCAAGTAATCGTCCTTCCTCAGCTCCCTGAGTAGCTAAGACTATAGGTGTAGCTAGCTACTATAGGTCTAGCCACCATACCCAGCTTATTTTTAAAAACTTTTGTAGGCTCGGCGCCAGCCACATACACCTAAGGTGGTGGGTTTGAATCCCCAGCCCGGGCCCACCAAACAACAATGATGGCTGCAACCAAAAAATGGCCAGGCATTGTGGTGGGCACCTGTAGTCCCACTACTTGGGAGGCTGAGGCAGGAGACTCGCTTGAGCCCAGAAGTTGGAGGTTGCTGTGAGTGTGATGCCATGGCCCGCTACCCAGGAGGGATAGCTTGAGGCTCTGTCTCAAAAAAAAAAAAAAAAAAAAACTTTTGTAGAGATGGCGATCTCACTATGTTGTCCAGGCTGGTCTTGAACCCTTGGGCTTCGAGCAATCCTCCTGTGATTCAAGATCCTCTTGCCTCAGCCTCCCAAAGTGCTGGGCACGTGAGCCACCACACCGAGCCAAAATGTCTTTATTTTATGCAATATACCTTTAGGCATATTTTCTTTCTTTCTTTCTTTCTTTTTTTTTTTTGAGACAGGATCTCACTTTGTCACCCCTGGTAGAGCAACCTCAATCTCTTGGGGCTCAAGTGATTCTGTTACCTCAGCCTCCTGAGTAGCTGGGACTACACAGGCACCTGCCACAGTGCCTGGTTTTTTTTTTAAGAGACAGAATCTTGCTCTTGCTCAGGCTGGTCTCAAACTCCATGCAGTCCACCTGCCTTACCTTCCCAGAGTTCTAGAATTACAGGCATGAGCCACTGAGCTTTGCCCGCATATGTCCCTTTTCACCTAGTTATAACTGTTTATCGCTTTTCATTGTCTTTTTATTCTCTTTCTAATTACCTTTTATTATACAAAAGCATTTCCTTTTCTTTCTTTCTTTTTTTATTAAATCATAGCTGTGTGCAACAATGCATCATGGGGTACAGTGTGGTGTTTTGATGTACAATTTGAGATATATTTCATCAAACTGGTTAACATAGCCTTAAGCATTTTATTTTCATCGGAATACATTTTTCTTTCCTTGAGTGAGATATTTTTTAGTAGTTTATTTTTCTTTCCTCTATAGTAGGAAAGTAACAGTGCTTTAACAGTGCCTTGGAAAGTGTTTTCATATACAGTCTTACTTGAATCTCCTAAAATATAGCAGGGATTATCCTGTTTCACAGATTAAGAAAAATGGAATGTTTGAATCATTTGTCAGAATATCAGCAGCCAAGCTGAGGCTAAGGCCTCTTGCCTTTAGAAAGCACTTAAGGCCTGGCAAGGTGGCTCGTGCCTGCAATCCTAGTACTCTGGGAGGCTGAGGTGAGAGTATCACCTGAGGTCAGGAGTTAGAGACCAGCCTGAACATAGTGAGACCCCATCTCTATTAGAAAATAGAAAAATTGGCTCAGCGCCTATAACTCAAGTGGTTAAGGCGCTAGCCACATACACCTAAGGTGGCGGGTTTGAGTTCAACCAGGGCCCGCCAAACAACAATGACTGCTGCAACCAAAAAATAGCCAGGCGCTGTGGCGGGCACCTGTAGTCCTAGCTAGTTGGGAGGCTGAGGCAGGAGACTCACTTGAGCCCAGGAGTTGGAGGTTGCTGTGAGCTGTGATGGTACAGCACTCTACCAAGGGGGACAGCTTGAGGCTCTGTCTCAAAAAAAAAAAAAAAAGAAAAATTATCCAGGTGTGGTAACGCATACTTGTAGTCTGGGATACTCAGGCAGCTGACTCTGGAAAACTGCTTGAGCCCAGGAGTCTGAGGTTGCTATGAGTGAGGCTGACACTATGGCACTTCATGGCATTCTGGGTAACAGAATGAGACTCTGTCTCAAAAAAATATATATACTTGGCCGGGCACAGTGGGTTACGCCTGTAGTCCTAGCACTCTGTGAGACTGAGGTGGCTGGATTGCTTGAGCTCACGAGTTCAAAACAAGCCTGAGCAAAAGCAAGACCCTGTCTCTATGAAAAATAGAAAAACTGAGATAAGAGAATCGCTTGAGCCTGAGTTGGAGGTTGCTGTGAGCTACCCCGGCAGTCTACCTAGGGAAACAGTTTAAGACTCTGTCTTGAAAAAATAACAACAACAAAAAACATATATATACACTTAATAAAAAAATACTAAAGTATTTTTGACTTGGTTGAACATTGAAACACATAGTGGAATAGGGTAGAATCCAAGGACAACTTGCCACTGTATTAGTTTCTTAGGGCTGTCATAACAAATGACTACCAATTGGATGGCTTAAAATAAGAGAAATTTATTCTTTCATAGTTATGGAGGTCAGAATTCTAAAATCAGGGTTTGTTCCTTCTTATTTTTTTTAAATTTTACATTAATATAAGGGTACATATGATTGGGTTACATTGTTTGCCTTTGTTAGGTAGCTGTCTGAGCTTACTGAACCCTCTACCCCCACCTCTTAAATTTGTGTTTCTCTATTGTTAGGGCCTGTAATTGTTCAGTTACTAGAAGTGTTTGTTCCTTCTTGAATGCTCAGAAGAATATGTTCCATGCCTCTCTCTCACCTGGTTAGGCAGTTGCCAGCAATCCTTGACATTCCTGGGCTTGCTCCTGGGTCACTCTAATCTGCGTCCGTAGTCACATATCTGTCTTTCCCCCCTGTGTGTGTCTTGTGTCTCTTCTGTTCTTAAAAGGACATAGTCCATACTAGATTAAGGGCCCATCCTACTCCAGTATGACCTTATGTTAATGTACTTGTTAATTACATCTACAAAGACCCTATTTCCAAATGAACTCATATTCATAGGTACCAGGGGCTAGGACTTCATTGTATCCTTTGAGGGGATAGAGTTCAATCCAGGATAGTCACTAACAGAATTCTCTTGTGTTCTCACTGTCTACCAGGTGCCCCTTATAGACCATGGCCCTTGTATCTGCTGATTCACGTATTGCAGAACTTCTCACAGAGCTCCATCAGCTGATTAAACAAACCCAGGTAAAAAGTCATTGCTGTCCACTCCTAGATGGGATGAACATGAGATGTCACACTGAGCTGTGGAGGGGTTTGGGGATGGGGCTTGTGTTCAGGAAGCAAGACAATGTAATGAAGGGGAAAGGTGGAGAATTTGAGATATAACTACCATTCCTGTTGAATTTTCTTTTACATACAGGATTTCACGATTCTTTTTAACAACTCTATTGAGAGATAATTTACATACCATACAATGTATCCATTTAAAGTGAACAATTCAATGGTTCCTTCCTTCCTAAGTGATAACCTTTTTGTTTTTTTGAGACAGAGTCTCACTATTTCACCCTAGGTAGAGTACCATGGCATCACAGCTCACAGCAAGCAACCTCAAACTCTTGGGCTTAAGCAATTCTCTTGCCTCAACCCCCCAAGTAGCTGGGACTACAGGTGCCCTCCATAATACCAGGCTATTTTTTTTTTGGTTGCAGTTATCATTGTTGCTTAGCAGGCCTGGGTCAGGTTCAAACCCGCCACCCTAGGTGTATGTGGCCGGCACCCTGCCAACTGAGCTATGGGCGCCACCCTTTTTGTGTGTGTGTGTGTGTGAGACAGCCTCATTTTTTTTAGAGACAGAGTCTCACTTTGTTGCCCTCGGTAGAGTGCCGTGGCATCACAACTGACAACAACCTCCAGCTCTTGGGCGTGGGCAATTCTCTTGCCTCAACCTCCCGAGTAGCTGGGACCAGAGGCGCCTGCCACAACACTTGGCTGTTTTTTTGTTGCAATTTGGCGGGGGCTGGGTTTGGACCCGCCACCCTCAGTATATGGGGCCAGCACCCTACCCACTGAGCCACAGGTGCCGCCCAGCCCAGCTATTTTTTTCTTGCAGTTTGGCCAGGGCTGGGTTTGAACTCCCCTACCCTCGGTATGTGGGGCTGGCACCCTACTCCCTGAGCCACAGGCACTACCTGAGACAGCCTCATTCCATTGCCCTGGATACAGTGTTGTGGCATCATAGCTCACAGCAACCTCAAATTCTTGGGCTTGAGCAATCCTCTTGGCTCAGCCTCCCAAGTAGTTGGGACTACAGGAGTGCAGCACTATGCCCAGCTAGTTTTTTTTTTACTCTATTTTTAGTAGAGACAGGGTCTTACTCTTGCTCAGGCTGGTCTTAAACTCCTGAGCTCAAGCAATCCACCCACCTCTGCCTCCCGAAGTGCTAGGAATACAGGTGTGAGCCACTGCACCCAGCTGCAAATGATATCCTTTGTAACCTAAAGAATAAAAGGTTCTTTTGGTATGCATATTGCTAAGTTAAAGAACTCAGTCTAAAAGGCCACATAGTATGTGATTCCAATTATATGATAGTCTGGGAAAGGCAAAACTAGAGAATTAAAAGATTGGTGACTGTCAGGGCCATGGGAAGGATGAACAGGTGAAGCACAGAGGATTTTTAGGGAGGTGGAACTATTCTGTATGGTAAAATAGTTGAGCGTGAGTGATCTCAGCCACTATAATGGTGGACTCAAGATATTGTGCATTTACCACGTTGCACAACACAAAGAGCGAGCTCAAATAGAGAAGTAGAGACTTTAGTTAGAAATGCTTGAATGGAAAATACAGACTTTAGAAATAAGGTATCAATACTGGTTTATAAGTTGTAACAAATGCACCACACTAATGCAAAATGTTAATAACAGGAAAGTGTGCAACAAGAGCAGGTATATGGGAACTCTCTGTACTATCTGCTCAACTTTTCTGGAAACCTAAAACTACCCCAAAAGTAGTTATTAATAAAATAAATGTTAAAACAAAAGGGAAAAAGATGCTGGCATATTACAAGACTTCCATTTGGTCATTACCCATTAGTCCAGTTCTTCATCATTCCATATAAGCAGAATGTCTCTCAGAGGGATGCAATTCAGGTTTGCAGGCTTCCACATGACTGTGTTAGGTTCTAAAAGCAGGAGTAGTATGCATGGGTTTGGATTTCTGACAGGCCTGTACCTCTGGGCCTGTCATAGTGCCCCATGCCAGAGCAAACTGACCCCAAACCATTGCCAGGCCTCTACCCAAAGGCCACTGGCACTGAAGGGGTCATACAGTAGGGAGAAAAAAAGAACAGGAATGGTTTCAGCAGACATATGGCTTCACCCTTTCAGGCATCTGGTATAACAGAGCTAAGAGACAATATTCTTTTGCTCTGAGCCTCTTGAGATATTAATACAATATTGGGTTTCCCTTGTTGCATAACTCATTTAACTTCAGCTACTATTTTTCCTTTTCCTTTTTTTTTTTGGAGACAGAGTCTACCTGGTAGAGTGCTATAGCATCATTATGGCTCACAACAACCTTAAGCTCTTGGGCTCAAGCCTTTTGCCTCAGCCTCCTGAGTAGCTAGGACTACAGGCATCTGCCACACACCCAGCTATTTTTCCTTTCTTTCTTTTTTTTTTTTTTTGAGACAGAGTCTCACTATGTTGCTCTCAGTAGAGTGTTATGGTCACAGCTCACAGCAACCTCAAACTCTTGGGCTTAAGAGAATCTCTTGCCTCAGCCTCCCAAGTAGCTGGGACTACAGGCAGCTGTTGCTATAAGGGTCTCGTGGAAAAGCGATGTCAGGGAGAATAAGCACACTTGTGTTTTAAATAAAGGTGACCTGGCTCGTCACCTGTGGCTCAAGTGGCTTAAGGCGCCAGCCACATACACCTAAGGTGGCGGGTTTGAATCCAGCCCAGGCCCACCAAACAACAATGACGGCTGCAGCCAAAAAATAGCCAGGCGTTGTGGTGGGCGCCTGTAGACCCAGCTACTTGGGAGGCGGAGGCAGGAGACTCGCTTGAGCCCAGGAGTTGGAGGTTGCTGTGAGCTGTGATGCCACAGCACTCTACCCACGGGGACAGCTTGAGGCTCTGTCTCCAAAAAAAAAAAAGAAAAAAAATAAAGGTGACCATCTGCTCGCACAGGCAAAATGGCGAGCTTTCTTTATTTACTGTTGGTTTATATAGTTAATCTTGTGCATGTACACTATACAGCAATGACCTCATTAATATTCATTACAGGTGGCACTTGTGGCTCAAAAGAGTAGGGTACCAACCCCATATGCTGGAGGGGCAGGTTCAAACCCAGCTCCGGCCAAAAACTGCAAAAAAAAAAAAATTCATTACAATCCTTTTGCACATGTGCATTGGACATCATTGGCTTCATTAATCCATTTGAACATCTTGTGACTACCCGCCTTGTAATTAGCACCTCCTTAGTAATCTGATAATCCACCCAACATACACCTTTAAGAATAACCCTTTCAACATAACCTGGTTTAACATAACTTAATGGAGAACGTGTTGTCAGTCATTACTTTCTTTTTCTTATCTGATGAAACCTGAGGCTATGGAGGAACAAGGTAGATTGAATACCTGCCCTTGCTGGCCTTGTTGTTTGGAGGCTGTTACTTCAGATCTTTAATCAAGGCATAAAGAAACTTCTTGGGCATACAGGAATTTGTGTGCAAACCTCTGTTCCCATGTAGGCCTTAAGTCAGGGGGTTTTTGCTGGAACCTTTTATAAGGACTTTTCGGGCTCAACTTCTCAAAAGCCTTTCACAAGCCCAGGTTTCATCTGTGCCATTAGATACTTGTATGCATTGGGTAAATTCCTCTTCTCTTGAGGTCTCTGAGCACATTTTCATTCCCAGACTCGTCAGCAAGCAACCTTTGTTACTTACCACAGATCATGAAAGGTTACTGATGGGTATCTTGCCAGTTTTCCAAAGGGCTTTTTTATTGGCCTTATAAAGTCAACCTTAATTCCTTAACGCAGTCTGGACATCTCTGGAAATGCCATTCCAGCTAAAGCCTTGGTCATGTTAGGCCCACAACCAACCCGGCCACATGGGATTCTGCCTCAGTTTCACACAAGTATGCCTGCACAAAGTCTTCACTGTTCTTTCTCTGCAATGTCTTGATTAATGAAGCTTTGTAGTAAATTTTAAAATCAGGAAGTGTGAGTCTTCCAACTTTAGTTTTCTTTTTCAAAAAGAGACCCAGTTTCAGCTAATCTGGGTCTCTTGAGTTTCCATATGAATTTTAGGATAAGCTTGTCAATTTCAGGCTCAGAGCCTGTAGCTCAAGTGGCTAAGGCACCAGCCACATACACCTAAGGTGGCGGGTTCGAACCCAGCCTGGGCCCGCCAAACAACAATGACGGCTGCAACCAAAAAATAGCCAGGCGCTGTGGCTGGAAAGTCAGGAAAGTTATAATGTTATTTAACTTTAATGCCTTCTGTGATGCTTTTGCATTAGTGGAAAAAATCATTTAAGTACCCTTATATTTATCTGAAATTAAAAAAGAAATCATCTTGAATTAGGATTTAGAAAATGAGATTATAAAGAAAAAAAAGGCTCAGCACCTGTGGCTCAAGTGGCTAAGGCGCCAGCCGCATACACCTAAGGTGGGGGGTTTGAATCCAGCCCGGGCCCGCCAAACAACAATGATGGCTGCAACCAAAAAATAGCTGGGTGTTGTGGTGGGCGCCTGTAGACCCAGCTACTTGGGAGGCGGAGGCAGGAGACTCGCTTGAGCCCAGGAGTTGGAGGTTGCTGTGAGCTGTGATGC